TATTCATTTTGGTTTGGTTGACACCTTCTTATATTAGAGCAGGCTACTTGGATGTAATTCAAAATGATGTATTTATTCTTTATGTTGGAGATTTGAGTATGTTTCCTTAACTATTTATTTTTCATAGAGAGCTATATGAATGATTTGATATATGTAAGTACTGACTCTATTTTCTTATATACTCCTACCCCTTCCCCTGGGGAGAGGTAGTGATGATCTCGCTAGCGTTTTAACGCTCGTTGTTTCCTCTCTTTCAGGCAGCGAGTCCGGCGCACGGAGAGTCGTAGGTTGATGAGACTTCTTAGTTGTCCATTTAGCTACTTATTATACCTTGTAGTTATTGCAGAACTCCACATGTAGTTGATTATTTTCAGATTCTAGATTTGTATTTTAGTTTAGAGTTGAGGGATTTTGTGAGACTTTGTTTATTTGACTTATTGTCTTTGAGATCCAGTTTATACTCAGAGATATTTCTATTCTATTTTAGTTAGGCTCATATTTGATATTTCTTATGCTTCTTCTATTCATATCCAGTGTTACCTATTTCTATTTTTTTGCCTGTCTGTACCCTCACCTATTTATTGTTTCCACTAGAGCGATAGTGATTATGATGGTGAAATATGTCGTAGCATGGTGGTTGGTGCTTGGCAGGTTTGACAATCCGGGCTTTACCTGGGACTGTAGCCTTATGTGAACCCTGGGGCGTCATAGTTGGTATCAGAGATCTAGTTCCAATATTCTTAGAATCATCACTGTGTCATATTGTGGAGTTAGGATAGAGTTTCTTAGGGATCATGTATACAGTCCACTAGGAATCCTTAGTATAAGTGAGGACTGTAGGCGTATAAAACTGCTTATAGGTCCCTTAACACAGCTCGGCACGGTGATTCGAGAAACCAACGAACCATCAGGCAATATATCCAAGCATGATCGTTAGACCACAACACCGAAGCCAAGTGACACGCGACGAAGCGGATTAACGAGGCGACGAGGTTAACGAACCGCACGCAAATAACGGAACACATCCAATCGCGTGCCCAATCAAGCTAACGTGTCGATGAATCAATGAGTCATCCAACCGTAGAGTCCACCACATCAACTAAGATCGGGAGCGGACTCGAACTCGAACACCAAGTCGGATTTACTGCCAAATCAGAATCTGGACTGCCAAATCAGAGTCCAGATCAACAATGAAGTTCGGATAAACAGCAAAACCGAAAAAACGGTAAAACCAAACATCGGGAGGGCTCGGCCAAAACCGAGCCACCTCTAGGTGGCTCGGTGGCCTTTTTTTAAATTTTTTTCCAAAATTTTTCAATTTTATTTAAATTTTAAATTATAAAAAAAGATAAGAAAAATAATAAAAACAATAATTTTATTAATTACTTAAAATGACATAAATTACAAATAAAAAATGATAAAAACAAATTTTTTATGCCACCCAGATCTGGGCCCAGATCTGACCAAGTACAAATTTATTTTAGAATTAATCGCATCACAATAGATAAGTAAATCCCAACTAGGTTGGCACCTACTCACCTATATCACTATCATTTATAATTATTTCCAAAATAATTCTTTACAAATTTTAAGCTAAGATATAAAAACTACAATCTATTCTTTATATCTATCTGCTAGTCCTAATTCTTCAAATTTATCTTCAATTCCAGCCATCCGATCGATGCCTTGCGTTCGCTTCTCGTACCTCCACCAATCTTGTAAGCACATCAACGTTTGTACAGTATACGGATCCAAGCATGTCATATGATCGTCGATCAAATGACCTGCTGTGCTAAAGACGGATTCCGAAGCTACCGTCGAAACCTGCACTGTTAGTAAGTCACGAACCATGGTGGAAAGTATAGGATATGAAACTGATCCATATATTTTCCACCATTGCAAAATATCTAAAGCATTTCCTTGACATCTAACTAAAGAAGCAGAAAAATATTCATCTATTTCAGAAACCTCCGATGATGACGATCCAAGTCCAGATCCACCAGTTAGCTCAGCTACTATTGCATACCTATAAAAACTTACACTTTTACCTCGGGCTCTGGATGAGCTCGAAGAAACCGAAGCTGTAGACTGTTGTGTAGTTACACCATGTCTAGCTGCATACTCATCATATAAGGTTTGAAAATAATTTCTAATAAGTAAATGATGAGTAGTAGCATTCAGGGTGGTTCCATCATCTAAGTCTATAACCTGTCCACCATACAATGACTGTAACAAACTTCGAAGGCCAATATCCTTCAAGCATGGATCAATAAGAACCCTCAAACCAAAAATATGAGGAATAGGCCTAAAATACTTATTAAATTTGCTCTCCATTTCAAAAACCATAGGTCCAAAAGTAGCATCCAAACGATATTTATCAAAAAAATTTTGAATATTTAAAATTTGTAAAGCAGCTAAAGTAATGGTTGGATAATAACAGCCAGATAATAACATGGTAGCATCATAAAAAACTTGTAACATTTCATTTAAATTACATATAACTGTCCATTCATCTTCAGTTATTCCATAAGTGCTACCAGAACTAGAACTAGAAGCATAATAGTTTATAAAATCAGTTATAATATCTTTATATTCTATTGCTACACTTAACATTGCATATGTGGAATTCCACCTATGGTCAACATCTTTTGGAATTAGTCTAGGCTTTACATTTTTTTTTTACAAAATTGTTTCTATCTTTCAAGTCTTTGTTCAGAAGCACAATGCATGTAAGCAACTGTTCTAACCTTTTCTATCATGGGTTTAATTTCAGTAAATGCACTTTGAACAATTAAATTTAAAATATGACAGATGCACCTAATATGAAAAAGATCACCATGACATGGCAATGATAAAGTTGATCTGATAAAATCAACAGCTACATTGTTATTACTTGCATTATCTAGTGAAAGAGAAAATATTCTTTGTGAAATTTCTAATTTCATAAGTTCTTCAATTATTAAATTTGCAACATTAGCACCAGGTCATAGTTCCAACTACCGAGATTACCAGAAGAGGAGGATTGAGAAATCATAGATTGTCGGATATCACCTTGAGGAGTCTGGTCTTTGTTGTGTTTATCTAAATGGCGTTTGAGGTAGTTGGTGCCGCTCTTATGATGAGCTTGAAAAATCTTGCCGCACAATGCACACTTAGCCTTCTGGGTGAGGATCCTACCGTGTTCATCCTTGGTGACGTCGATCTTCTCGTAAAAATTCCACACATCGGATCTTGGTCTTTTAGGAGCTCTTGGTGCAAATTCATCGCCACTGGATTCGGGATTAACTTCGGTAGGAGTAGACCCAGTAGGAGGACTCATAGTATGAGGACTCATTTCAGGATCGGGAGATAGGTTTTGCTCTTCATAATCAGATCCGGAAGCCATTTGATGAAATGATTAGAAAGTATAAATAAGAGTATAAGAGAGAGTATAAGAGTATAAGAGAGAAGAGATGAGTTTTTGGTGTGAAGAAAACAAATGAAAACCCCCCTCTATTTATAGAACCAGCCCCCTAGGCAAATGACCAAAATAACTTCACAAAATAGCCATTTTTTGACCGTTTTTGGGGGCAAAACGGTCAAACGACCAATCTGGCCGTTGTAACCGGGCCGGGCCGGGCCGGGCCGGCCCGGCCCGGCCCGGTTACAACGGTCAGATTGGCCCTACCCCTCACTACTTGTACCAAAGCATCTGGGCCCTCCAATCACAAGCTCACTGTTCACTTTCCCTTCCCGCCCTTTTCCACCTCCAGTCTTGTCATTCTACCAGCGCATGCCTACGGAAGGTTGTAGGTTATACCTTGCTTGTTGTAGGGTCACTGATTGATGCCATCATAAAATGTTTAACTGGTTTTAGTCTTGGGTTATATAGCCTTATTGGTATTTAACTCTTGTATTCTCCTCTTTCTAAATCATCATAAAAAATGCAATTAATCTTTATCCCTACTTGCCTACGCCATGATTATTATCAACACCATCAACTCGTCTAAGTTCTGATTTGCGACATGGCTACAAAGATACGTGGCAACCATCCCTATTATTCTTGTACTATGACGATATCATAAGATGATTGGGCTAAATTAAAACTAAGATTAATTACATCTAGGTGGGACCTCTCCTCTAACGTACGTATGATGTAGTTATACCGGTGACCCTAAAATCTCATCATTCTACTAGTTACACGGGTTCAATGTTAACCATTCTAAAATTACGCTCGTTTATTTTTTTTAAGTAGGCGAGGGGAATGATTGAGAGGGTTAAAAAGAAGCGAATTTCCTCACTTTCTTAACCCTCTAAGGTGGACGGATTGGGAGGGAGATGTTGGATTTTCAGTGAATAGCTTTGCTACAGGGACCCAAAATATGGGACCAATAAAGGGGACAAGTGAGGTGTCCCCCTTTTATTGGATAATGATGGCCAACTCATTATCCAATAGGAGGAGGACACCTCACTTGTCCTTCCTATTGGTTCAATATTTTGGGTCCTTAAAGAATTTTTCTTAAGTGAATTGCCTTCTTCACTTGCTAGTTTCTATTCTAAATAATCACAAATTAGTCCATCACTCTCCCTCCTTCCCGTATCCCCTAGTTGTCTATCCAAACACGATTAGTTACAAAGCATTTTCTTCCTCTCCTTTTTCTCCTCTTGAGTTTGGCTGAATCAACCCCCTTTCATACCCTCTCTTCTCTATCCAAACTGACTATAACTCCAAAGGTCATCGATATAGTTAGGCCATACCTCACGGTGTGAATGTAATTAATCCCCAAAATTAACAGAGAGACACTGTGTTATGGTGTTCATTACTCGCTACGTGCTGTGCCGCTCTAGCATAAGTTATTCCCATCAGCCAAAAAGTATCCAGGCCTCCCGAGACCGTAAATGGGCCCAAAGCCCGTCAGTCGTCAACCTATCGCGGCCCTCTCTTTAAAACCGCCCAATCCGAAAAAGCGCCAGACAGCACGCGCATCTCCCCGTGGGCCCCGCACCCTCTCTCTACATCCGTGCTCCTGTTATCGGAAAATGAAAAAGACTCCTCCTCAAAAAAGAAGACGAGGAAGAAAAAATAAAAGTAAAAGAGACTGTTGAAATTTCCGGTACTTGACCTACATCGAGCGGAGAATGAGGCGATCTCAGCTCCTCATTTGATTCGAGCTAGGGTTTCGATTTCGTCCGGCGATGACGATGATGAGCAGCAGCAGCAGCTTGGGATCGAGCGGCGGCGAGAAGTTCCCAGTGGGGATGAGGGTTCTCGTGGTGGACGATGACGTCACCTGCTTGAAGATTCTCGACCAAATGCTCCAGAGGTGCCGATATCGTGGTGAGTTTTGGCTGATTGATGAATTTTGAAATTATATTTTGTGAAAATTTTGTTGAATTTATCTGTAGACTTTGAAATTGGTAAGTAAGAAAATTATGAACCGAGAGAAAATGTTGATTATTATGGTCAAAAGGGAAACTTAGTAGGGAATTTACATGCATGCCTGGTTAATTAAGGCTCATCGGCTGGAACAAATAAATCAAGGAAGAAGATTAGAGTTGTAAAATGTGGACTTTTTAGCTCAAAAGTAGGGACATGCAAGTGTAAGATCTTGCTAGTTAGAATAACTATTCGCAGTCTCGCAGAAGTCTAGCGAGGTAACTTGATAAGGAGTTTGTATCATTTGTACCAGACATACTATGGGTGAATACCTTCCAAATAAGGACAAATCACACATGCTACCAAAGTTTCATGCTCATGCAACTCAAAAAGAAAAAAAAGTGTTACGTTTAACATGTAATTAGAATATCAGTAAATCAATAGTATACTGTAACTCATATTGCTGACTTAGTTTCTTCTTGGAGCAAACAGTTTATCGATTGATATCGAGAGATCAAAAGCATTTTTTAAAAAGCAGAAGTGCAAGGCAAAGGATTGTATCCTTTTATACTGCGTGGCGTAGCTGTGAGGCTCAAGCCTCATAAACTAATTATATTTTAAATTTAATATTGATAAATATTGTACGTTTATGATGTATTATGGAGTGGATATTTATAAATAGATAAATTCAGATTTTGGACTGTAAATGAGAATGAAATAGGCTAAGTATAGACACAAACGATAATAAACTAAGCCACATCTAAAAGACTTCTATCTATGCTAATCACAAAATAGATAAATCAATGTTCACTACGATCCCACACTTTTGCTAGATCCTGAGCGTCAAGACATAATCCTACCAATTCTGATACGAGTACCTCTGACAGTCTGATTTTTATATGTTTACACGGTTACATAAAATTCAAGTGTGATTGGTTTGTTCGTGAAGGCCTGGTGAACAGTTCTTTCGTTGATGTGATCTTGTATTCAATGCTTTTCAGCATTACAATTCTTACTAGGATCACATTAGTTCTTGTTGACCTGATTTTGTCCAATAACTAATAATGCTTAATGTCCAACCACCAACTTCGGTGAGGTTTGAATTAGATTGACGGATCAAGTTAAAATTGCTGCCGTCGTGATAAGCATTAGTTGTAGATACGAACACGAAGTGTTGTTTACCAAGACTGGCTGATTTTAGGTAATCAGACATGCCAATTAGGATGAAAAATTATGAATGCATTTTTTTATGAGTGCTTATATGCATTTTGTCATATATAGATATATGTTTTAGGCTGTTGGTCATACAGAAAAAGCCTAAATTTTGTAAAATAATCTACAAAAAAGTTAGTTCATATCAGATAGGGCATAGGGTTGTTTTATAAATGCATAATTATACATACCATGTCTAGCTGTGTGGACATGATGGTTTCTCCTTGGAAGTTGCCTTACATATCCTAGGTGATAAGAACTCATTAAGTTAGAAGATGTGTCTAAATCTTGCCTCCCGTTCTGAAAATTATTGGATAGCTTCACGTGCAAACTGGTCAGTGGGTGGAGATTGTGTACTCTCCTGTCATTATTCTGGTACCTTGGTGTCTTCTACTCACCCTAGTTAGTTCTATTGCAGCACGAAAAATTGTTGTTCTTCAGATTGGAAGGCGTTAGCATGGACATGATATTTATTTATTGCCCAAATTGATAACTAATACAATCCATAATTGCTTTGTCAATGCATTATTTCTGCTAAAATATGGCTTATTTAAATTTTTTAGCCTGAAGTTAAATTAATTAGCTGAATGCATTTTGTTAAACTATGTCGGTAATAGTGGCATTAATTATGTAAGCAAACGACATTAATCCCTCCAAATTAGATTGCTTTATTCATGTCAGAGAAGCTTCTTTGCTTTTTATTAGTTCTGCTGATGCATGCATATGTATGTAGGGTTGAAAGAAATCTTGATGACCTTATCCAATGCTTTGTGGACGGATATGTACCATTTGCCTATTTGAAGAAAACTTGTGTTTTTCTGTTCCAACTAGGTGGGATGCACGTGCATTGCACGTGGTTAAATATCTTGATTTTTCTTAGTTTATTTATTTACTATAACATGGTTGTGATTCTTGTGAAAGAGTTTATAATTACCATAAAATATATTGAAATATTTTTCGGATGTCTCCATGGGTAAAAAATTGGTGGTTTCAATATTTTGCCTTACGGAGAAATAGTAAAGTCTAGAGCCTTAAAGTGTTAATGATTTAAGCACAATTTAAATGATTTGAAGGATTTCAAAATATTAATGATTTAAGGGATCAATATTGAAAGACTCTTATTATTAAAATGATAAAATAAAAATTTTGAATTCACTGAAGGAAAAATTATAGGTTTTATCTAATCTGATACTATATATATTTAGCTCCAGTTTATGAAAGGCAGGGTAAATCGGAAGAATCTGAAACGCATACGAAACAGAGTGTAAATTTCTCCCAGAGAACCTTATAGCAATAGATTATCAAATTCAATGTATAGGATAAATAAAAGAGAAATAATCCAAATCAGTCCAATAATTCAATATTAGTATTATGAGCAATTTCAAAGATTTGAGGGACTATTATAGAATTATTGAAGATTTAAGGGATTAATAGCTAAATAACCTTTAAACATTTGTTCTTTGCTTCTATTCCTATAGATGTCCTTTAGTTATCACCTGGGTTGGTCATTGTGGGAAAATTCGCTGTTTGAACACATACTAACACTTTGTTTTGTAAACTTTAGTCACAAATTTCAAAGATATGATATATTAGTTAATTAAATTCCATCAAAAAATTCATATATTTCTACTTTAATTAAATTCTTTACTGTTCTAATTTCTTTATTAAATAAATTTCCATAAAAAACCTTCTCTTTTCTTTAAATATTCGGTGTAATGAATTTCCGTAAATTTAGTTCTTTTTTTTCAAATTTTTTAGTTGAAGCTTTTGAATAACTCTAATTCCTAAATATAAAGTAATCAAGACTATAGATTATTCCTATAAACAATAACTCTTAAAAGATAACAACATGTTAATTGTGATGGGATAACAATTTAATATATGTTCAAGGGTAATATTGACCATGGAAAAGTTTTCCCAAACTGACACTTTTAAGGAAGTTGATTACGAAATACCATTTCTGAAATGGAATGGAGTCCAGTATAAACTCAGCCTTTGCCAGATGGACAATTTTAATTTAAGAATTTGACCATTTGAAAGTGAGAAAATCATTGTTTAAAATTTAAACAAAGTTGACTCTAATTTGTGAAAGTTGTTTTTAAATTAAAATGATACAGTAGTTTTCTTCCAAATAAGCATACAAAAAATGTACCAATTGCCTAGATCATCAGTCACATTCTTTGGTAACTCTGATTTGTTCTGGTTTTTGCAGTGACAACTTGCTGTCAGGCTACTGTAGCTTTATCCCTTCTTAGGGAGAGGAGAGGCGGTTTTGATGTAGTAATAAGTGATGTTCACATGCCTGACATGGATGGGTTTAACCTGCTTGAGCTTGTTGGTCTTGAAATGGATCTTCCAGTTATCAGTAAGTGTATTCTTCTATTTACCAAGTTTCAAATTTTTGTAAATTCATGATCTAGACAAGCTTTTGTCTAATATACAGTGATGTCTGCTGATGGGGGAACCGAAACTGTAATGAGGGGAATAAAGCATGGGGCTTGTGATTATTTGATTAAGCCTGTACGCATTGAAGAACTGAAGAACATATGGCAGCATGTAATTAGGAAAAAGAAGTGGAACGAATCTAGAGAACTAGAGTATTCAGGTGGTGATGACTCAGATCCTAATAGGCGTGTTTCAGAAGACACTGAGTGTGCTTCCTCTGTGAATGATGGAGCAGATGGAATTTCGATGTCTCATAAAAAGAAAAGGGAAGACAAAGAAGATGAAGATGATGGTGAACTTGACCATGAGGATCCTTCTTCGTCAAAGAAGCCTCGTGTGGTATGGTCTGTGGAACTTCACCAGCAGTTTGTCAGTGCTGTGAGCCAACTTGGGATTGAAAGTATGAACCTTCTGTTGCTTTTGGATAATAAATTTATTGTTTAAAAGTTTGAAGCACTTTTCACTCTATTGCCAACATCATCGCAATATGTCATTTCTTTGTCACTTATCAATTTATTTACTTGATGCAGAGGCTGTTCCAAAGAGAATTCTTGAACTGATGAATGTTCCTGGATTAACTAGGGAAAATGTTGCAAGCCATTTGCAGGTATAATTATAAGTTATGTATGATTCTCTGCATAGACATATAGTCATCGTTTGTATATCATTGTTGTGATCTCGTTCTGGAATTCTCTATATGTTTGTGTTTCAAAATATTATTTGTTTCTAGTCAGCTTCGGAATAGGCTTGTCCGAATTACTGGATTTTCCCTCTGAACAATTTTTCTAAGCATATGTGGTTTTCTGTTTCTAAGCAGATTTATTAATCTTTTAAAAGAATGTAATTTATGCATGATTATTGACCTGCAGATAGTATGGATGGTGGTCTCTGCCGACAGTGTATAAATGATGCTACTTGCAAATAGTATAGATTATGTTAAGTAACTAACAGGTGGTCAATCTTTTCATGTGCATAGTTATATGTTAAGTAACTAATAGATCAACCTTTGCATTAGTGTCAAAAACATATATTCCTTTTTCTGCTTATTACCTTATATAATTTTCAAATTGAGAAATATGAAATATTACTCATAGTTACACTAGTCTATGACTTGTGAGTTACTGCAGAACTTGTAACATCCTCATACTTATTTCACATTGTTGGAGAAAAAGATACCTCTCAACCTCACCTCATATTCAGTGTGGACATCCATCTGGTAAGACCAAACTACGAAGGTTCATATCCAACCTGCATATTAAGTTAGTTTAAAAAATGATTAGTGATG